ACAGCAATATGTGCTAAAATAACCCAAACAAGCCGATTTGAAAGTTTCATATCAAAATATTAAGACGGTCGGAAAATATCATTAGATTTGATTTATGTAGTTACGTGACTGGTTTATGGAATTCCATTGTTCAAATGTATGAGTGGGGTAACCACTTCAACTTCATCCTCCACTTCCGGGTGCGTAATACTACATAAGTTGATCTCGGCTTTGATCAAGATTTCCCTGGGATCAGTATGTTATTTATCGCTCTAAAACTCCGGATATTGAATATGTTTTTTTTTATTTTATTATTATTCTTTAATACTGGTTACTTCGTTCACGTTACAATCCGTTCTATTAAACAAAAAGTGAAGAATGGAATGTTAATCAAAATAACAATTAAAATATGACATAATTATTTCGTCATTTTAAGCTATATATAAGAATCGCTTGCAAACTACACTATTGTGACAGTTCAATTTCTAACAAGAATATCAATCCAATAATGGTCCAGTTCTGTTCAGATTTTAGCGACAAATGACAAATGCGCCTCGTTACTTTTAAACAATGAAACGATACATGATATATTTTCATTATATATTACAATATATTAGAAAAAATTAAATAATATAATGTACCATATATTTAAACGATAAAACGATCTACAAATTACAATAAAACAACAACAACAAAAAAAACGTACAATAAAAAAAATAAAAGTACAATAAAAAAAAAAAAGTACAATAACAAGAAATAAAAGTAGAAGTACAATAAAACAATTGAATAATACAATGTACGAAAAAACAAAACAGGTCATAATGTACAATACAATAAATGGACATATCTTGTACAATAAAACAATAAATGGATATAGTATGTACAATAAAAGAATATAGTATGTACATTGAAACAATAACACGATACATTATGTTCAACAGAACAATATTACGATACATTATGTACAATAGAACAATAAAACGATACATTATGTACAACGGAACAATAAAAACGATACATTATGTACAATAGATTAAAACAATATTATTATTTACAATAGAACAACAAAACGATACATTATGTTCAACAGAACAATAACACGATAAATTATGTTTAACAGAACAATGAAACGATACATTAGGTATAATAGAACAATAAAACGATAAATTATGTACAATAGAACAATAAAACGATACATTATGTTCAACAGAACAATATTACGATACATTATGTTCAACAGAACAATAAAACGATACATTATATACAACAGAACAATAAAACGATACTTTATGTACAATGGAACAATAAAAACGATATATTATGTACAATAGATTAAAACAATATTATTATTTACAATGAAACAATAAAACGATGCATTATGTTAAACAGAACAATAACACGGTACACCATGTACAATAGAACAATAAAATGATACATTATGTTCAACAGAACAATAAAACGATGTATTATGTATAATAGAACAATAAAACAATAAAATTTAAGTTTATTTTTCTACAAAAAAAATACAGGAGAGCGTCGAATAATTATAGCCAGAAACACTACTGTCCGTGAAAATTTACCTCGTATCACATGTAACACTACAGATAACAGGAGATCAGCATAATGATAAGACCTTTATTAAGAACATGTACACGTGTAATAGACATAATTCGGGAGGAGCTTTATTCCAAATCTGACTTAGTAAACTCCTGCTTATATAGCGTTCAACAATTAGGGAAATCTATAACTTTGTCACACACACTGCTCGTCTTCATTAGCCCAGTTGATGCAAAGGGCGTTCGTTATACCTCCATTCATTACAATTACCAAGTGTTGTTTTTTTGTTTTATATTTTTATATTCTTCAAAGACACTTTAAATTTGATGACGTGTTTCCTGTGGAAATAAAAACAATTAAATGGCGTATTGTACTTAACGCTTGTCTAACTATTTAACATATTTAAATAAAAACCATTAAATGATGTATTTTACTTCACGCCTTTATAACTATTTAGCAAATTCAAACAATAAAACTGAAGGATGTTTAACTGTTGACAGAAATGCTAAAGAAACTGTAGGGTGTATTTATGACTGCCTTCTGTTTCGACATCTGATAACGCCAACTAATTATTCATTTGTAGCTTTTTTGTATGTCAGTTAACACGTTTCAAAGAGAATAACAATCTGATTAAAATACAGATCTATATTTCGTTTCGTATTTTTATACCTTCGATGGCCTCTTCTAGTGTAGTAAAGACAAGTAAAACGAAATTTTGAACTATAAAAAAAAACCGAAACGAAGTAGGATCTGTGTTTTAGTCAGATTGAGAGAATAACAAATGAACAAGAGGTCGTCTCTTCAGATGTTTTTTTTTTGTGGATATTCAATGGCGATTATTTGCCTGAATCTTGCATGCTATGGGTTATAGAGTTTGGTCTAACGTCTCGTTGACGGTACAATATGGTCTTTTTCAGAAACGTAGGTCTTTAAGCTCCGTTTCAAGTAAGTTGTGAAAATCAGACTCGGCTCCTTTAATATACATAAGTCTGTAAGACAAAGTTATTCACAAACAAAACAACGAATTAAAAACTGCAGGCGGTTGTTTTCCCAAGATTGTCATTAAAACTGACAGTTTGACGTATAGTTCCGCTATGTTGGTGATGATTATCTTAGAATTTGTTTCTAGTTTATCAGAGTTCTGAAGAAGAATAGCTTGTTGTATTTATGAATTAGGGGATATTATAGTTTGTCTGATGTTGATAAAACATGGGTGGTGGTGGATAGATTGTTGGTGAGTGGGGGCCACCTGCTGGTGGGGATATTATAGTTTGTCTGATGCTGATAAAACATGGGTGGTGGTGGATAGATTGTTGGTGAGTGGGGGGGGGGGCACCTGCTGATGTGGATATAATTTATCTCGTGCTGATAAAACATCGATGGTGGTGCACTGTAACCAAAAGATCCGTGAAAAAACGTAAAAAGTTCCGGAAACAAAAATTACCAGGAAAATTTTATTCGTATTTGATTTTCCTGTAATTTACAGAAATTCCTTTAATTAACATAAATTCCCTTTTCAAATACAGAAAAAAATCCTGGTAATTTTTGTTTCCAGAGCATGAAAGAGAAAAACATGTTATTGGATTAGAGGCAATTAACTCTACAGAATTCGGCCACATAAAAAAGGAATTAATAGATTGCTGGTGAGTAGTGTGGGAGTCACCAGTGTTACCAATTTGTAGCGAGCACTACATCACCGTTGGGGTGGGGCTTGGGAGGGCTATGGCTATGGATAGGGCTGAGGCAGAATTTCAGGTGTGTGTGTAGGGGGGGGGGTTGTTTCCAATTGTGCACTTTCTCATCCTAGGGAGTGGGGCGGTTACGAATTGGTTAAGTTATAAGTGAGAGATGATTGATATGTTAGCCCGTTTTAGAACATCCGGGGCTGTTCATTATTATATGGTAACGATGAGAGTGTCCTCATTGAAACGGTGCTGTTAATAAACCTAGGGAATGTTATCCATATATCGCTTTCATAAAATGCCTTTTAAAGATGCTGTGCATTATTGTGAAATCTTGTAATCATTAAGGAATAGTTCTACAGGCATGAAAAGCACATTTTATCAACGAGTGTGCACAGTCTGAGCTATTTGTTTTTGAAACTACATCAGTATGCTCCTCAACTTGACCACTCACCCGTTTTCTGCGGCCTATCGTTTAAACCTCATCCACTGTTTTATGAGTTGCGTGGGAATTAGAAATGAGATATATCGAATTCGAATCCCCCCGTCAATGCAGCAATTCAAGATAAGGGTTCTTTAATCTGAGTACTTTATGTAATTTACCGACAAATTAATAAAGATAACAAATTAGAATACTTATCTTCTACGCACTCCTTTTCGTGAAATTAAGCGATGCACAAAATGGTTTTATATAAATATCTAATAATTTTAATTTATATATGTAAGATTCAAGTCTTGGTTCTTTTATTAAACTGCTGTGTTTAATTTACTGATAAATTAATAAAGAAAAAATTAAAAGGCTTATCTTTTCGCATTCCTTTTCACGATATACGAAATAGTTTTTTGGGTTTTTTTTTTAAATACATGATTATTTTAATTTATTATATGTAGAAAGGGTTACTCGGTTTAATATGTTCTCAGAATTCTTATCAAGATTCATCTATTTACCTCGACGTACAAAATTATAATTGTGTCCACTCGACATAAACTAGGACTAACATAATGGTTCAATGTTAGTTCAATAATTCACTTGCGCGTTGTGGAGCGGGGGTTGGGGGCGCGGAGGACCCAAAGAAATCTCACGGGGTCGGGCAGGCGACCCTACTCCTTGTCACGTGCAAGCTGGGGATCGAAACCACCCCATTTGACTCAACGAGACCGTGTGATCTACATCATTCCCGCCACTCGTATCCCTACTACTACTACCTGGTGCTTTAACGTCTGCTTCCATAGAAGTGATATCGCAGACAAGACATAGGAGTGCCGAAGCTTCTTCCTGTTTTGATTTTGCAATCTTTCCATTTGCGACCTTATGCCATGGAATGGGTTTAGTGGAAAGTTCTTCCCTTTATTTAATAAAATAAACCCAACATATTGTTTGGTTGTTGATCCGTAGAGACAGCATATATGCGTACATATATGCGTCTCGTCTCTGGATAGGTAGATGTCATCTTTGTGGTTTTAGGGTTAATTAATAATACCTATTATAGTAAGTGCAGGGAGGTGTGGGGGGGGGCATCACACTTAAACAAAACCTATAAGTCAAACCTACTGACAAGACACACAACCTGCACAAACACAAAACCAATAAGACAAACCAGATGATAAGACACGCAACCTACAAACAAACACAAAACCAATAAGACAAACGGCTGACAAGCCACAGCCTACACACAAACACAAAACCAATAAGACAAACCTGCTGACATGATACACAGACATTGCAAGCAATAAACAACAAATGTATATTATGATTTTTATTTAATGTTTATTTATTTTCAGCCAGTGGAATGGCGCCACATGTTGGTATGTATATTTTATAATTAGTCATATATTTTTTTATTAATCAGTGAAAAAAGGCATACAATATACAATAACTGTTTCTGGAGATCGAATGGCCCTGAGACTTATGTTTGTATTTTCCCGGTCTTACTGTTATATGTGTATAGCCAATGAGAGCTAAATCTAAGTCTAATATTAAACAGAACGCAATTTTTATGGTAAATCAATCACTGGTTTTATTCTAAAAACACGACGTTTCAACAAGTATCCCCTTGGTATAATCTTTAAGTACCATTTAGCGATCGGGGAACACATTAATAGAACACAATTTTTTTTTTTGATATCGATCACTGGTTTTATTCCAATAGCACGACGTTTCGATAAGTATCCTTTTATACTAAATGTGAAATGAAATGAAATGGGGTTTAACGTCCTACTGTTCTGTACCGAACTGGGATAATGAAGACGCCATACAGTGTCTTATGAGGGAAATTTTGCACAGACAGCGGCACTACGGCCTACTCTTATATCGAATTCCAACTGTCAGGGATCATTTACGTGCACGCCAATGTGTACACGGGACCTCGGTTTTCCGTACCATCCGAACGTCTTGCAAGCTGTCCTTGCCAGGTCCTCCGTCTTGCATCACTGACAAAGGGGGGGGGGGGGCACGCCGGAAAATCTGGATGAACTTTCTAGAACAATGCAGGGATCGAACACCCGACCTCCAGGCTAGCGAGCCACCGTCTTGCCCACTTAGCCACCGTCACCTCAATACTAAATGTAACTGTGCTTGATAACGATATTTGGATATTTTTCGAAACGTCGTACTTTTAGAATAGAACCAGTGATCGATATCCCCGCAAAAAATATGTTTTATTAAAGGCTCAATACCACTCTTGTTGTAACTGAATAATATGTCCCAATCTTTATTCTGGTCAACAAATTGTACTATTGTATACTATTTCAATTAATTGATGATACAAATTTTATCTTAACACACCTTATTTAAAAATTTTGAAAAATTCAACATAATGGTTTGAAACGTCTAACGTAAACCTTTTCAAATGAAACTTCGATTTAAAAATATTTTCGAACCCTCTGGACAAGTAAAATAGGATGTAATGGATAATTTACACAACAGGTAGGACACTTAAACATCTAGTACTTAGATATTATTTATTTTCTGGAGCTTTCAAGCCAGCAAGAGTGTTATTGTCCCTTTAATGTATTCCTCGATCGCTAAATGGCCCTTAAAGATTATGTTCTCTGTCATTATACCATTCTTGACCTTGATGAAATATGATATACTTACATCTTTTCATAAAATATATTTATTATACAAATTGTGATGATGATGAAACATATATTATATAGTTACATCAAATATTTATTCAGAAAACAGAATAATGTCAATAGGGCGTAAGTATTTTATTTATTTTTCGTTTTATTTTATTTTATTTTATTTTATTTTATTTTATTTTATTTTATTTTTTGTTTTGTTTTGTTTTGTTTTATTTAATGTCAATAAGGCGTAAGTATTTTATTTATTTTTCGTTTATTTTATTTTATTTTGTTAATTTTATTTTATTTTGTTTTGTTTTGTTTTGTTTTGTTTTGTTTTGTTTTATTTTATTTTATTTTATTATTTTATTTTATTTTATTTTATTTTATTTTATTTTATTTTTTGTTTTGTTTTGTTTTGTTTTATTTAATGTCAATAAGGCGTAAGTATTTTATTTATTTTTCGTTTATTTTATTTTATTTTGTTGATTCAATTCAATTCAATTCAATTCAATTCAATTCAATTCAATTCAATTCAATTCAATTTAATTTAATTCAATTCAATTTAATTTAATAATTTTTTATTTGTTTTGTTTTTTATTGTTTTTTATTATTATTATTATTATTATTATTATTATTAAATTTTAAATTTTATTTTATTTGTATCCAAATGAGTACACGGCTCTTTCAAAAAAAATTTAATTGTTTAATTGCATGATATATAATTGTAAGACAGCTGTTTAATTTAATAATTTTTTATTTGTTTTGTTTTTTATTGTTTTTTATTATTATTATTATTATTATTATTATTATTATTATTATTAAATTTTAAATTTTATTTTATTTGTATCCAAATGAGTACACGGCTCTTTCAAAAAAAAATTAATTGTTTAATTGCATGATATATAATTGTAAGACAACTGTTTACGGCGAGAGTTCTGTCTATTCTCGCTATCCTGCGATGTTTAAATATGCCTATTGCAGGTCTTTCTTTAGGCTTGAAATGTTATCTGAATTAATTTCCTTATCCAGGCCATAATCAACTCTCGATGTCATCGCTAGTCTGTGATGTTAATTGGATTAGGTTCCGATGGGCTGTTCGACTTCCATTCATGATTTAATCATGAAATGGATAATCGAAACTATGTTTTTATAGTACCAACTTTAATAATAATGGTCGAGGCTAGCCTAAAATTCAATCGCTAAAATCTCGCTTCAGAGTGCATCAATTTGGCCCTAGGAGAACATACACCTGACTTGATTGATAGTAGTCCAACCTCGTGGGTTTTCTCGGGGTAACCCGGTTTCCTCAAACTGCTAAAGACCTCCAACTGCTACTTAAATCGGAGGTTCATTCAACAGCAGCTCTCATGTCAAAAGTCAAAAACCTAGTAACTCACTTTTTTTTTTTATCAAATTTGTAGTTGCTATGGTATGTGCAATGGAGCGTTATCCATAAAGTAATAATCTCAGAAAACGTTTTAGATGTTGGTCTGATGAGTATTTGATGTTGTTGTGTCGGGGTGATGGGTAGCGTGCGAAGTCTTCAGTCTTCGAGGAATGGGATCTAATTTTGATTCGCGTCAAGATTTATTTCAAAGACTTAGATAATGTAGTCTATGCCATAAAAATAATATTTAAAATAATGTTTTCTTTTGTAGAGAATGCTAAAGGAGTAAGTCGAAATTCGGGTAAGTACGTCTACGTTTCTAAAAAATCAGTTGACTTCACTTTTTCCATAAGGAAATGTTTTAGTCAACTAAAACTTTGTATTTTTTAAAAACCAAACACATCAGAACAAAATCCAAAGCAGAACACATCTCAACCCAGGTGCATCTAATTTTTCCTTTCTTTTCGCTTTGAACACAACAGGGCATAAATTTTGGACAAGCCCAAATAGGGCCATATCAAGCCAGCAGGGTATGGATAGTAGCAGCCAATGAGGAATGCCAGCAGACACATTTGATAATGCCCTTATGTTCTGGGGATGGGGGTGGTTAATGACCGAATGGTTAGCACGTGCGCGCTGTATCATAAGGTGTGTCACTGAGTCAACTGGCGTGGTATCGATTCCCAGGCTGTACGTGACAAGGAGTAGGGTTGCCTGTCCAACCTCTAGGATATTCTCCGGGTCCCCCTATTTGCTCCCACTGCTAAAGACCCCTACGCGCAAGCGAATTATTGAAATAAAATTGAACCATATGTTAGTCCTAATATGACCTAGTTTGTGTCGAGTGGACGTTAACCCCATCTTAGATAAATGAGCACAACTTGTGCATCCACTGAAAAGGAGCCCTTAAACAAACACTAATTTGCCAGCCTTCATGCATCAAATATAAGGAACTTCGCTACGCAAAACACTTTAGTCGCTTTCGTATTATGTCAGGAGACATGCCAGATTTTCAAATCCCAAAGTTATTGCTATGCAAATGATGTTTATGTATAATTATTGCACGGCCTAGGGTGGGTGTTTATAAATATTTTCTTTTCTTTTGTCAGTTTATGGAATCGGTAAAGATAAGAGTAAGTTTAATTTCTTATTTCGTTGAGTGCATTAGTTTAAATTTGTCTTTCTCGTGTTTGGTTTCTATTTAAAAAATATTACGCTGCATTTAGGACAGATTTATGCCTAGGACACAGAAGGCGAATGTTTACGGTGAATCATTCGAGCAAACCCTTCGTCAGCGAATTACGCCTAGCGCGTCGGGCCCTAGGACATTCGCTTATAGCTTCGACACACACGATTCGCCAAAATAAAACATGTTTGATATTTATTGCCCGAATATTTATCGCCGCCGACTCGTTCGGTGAATGTGTTCTATTTATTCCTTGGCCAACCAAAACCGTTCAAAGCTCTACATGACAAACAAAATGACCACCTCTGGCGACATAAGCTGGCCAAAATTGTATCACTGAGAAATCGGCGTTGGCATTCGCTTTGTGTGTCCGCACTGCGTTGCTCGGGTAACTTCGGCGGTGAATACTTCGGCCGAACTATGAGGGAATAGACATAGTGTGTCATATCGGAATCAATTCACACAATCCCTATTCACTTTTGGAAATCGATGAAGAGTAAGAATAAACACCTCTGTCAGGAATTGTATAAAATTTATGTTACTATGAGAATAAAACTGATTATATTATGTTTGTTTCAAATTTGGTCGTGGCCTTGTACTGACCCTATTCCATTCTTTTCCATTTATACGGTTCTAGCTGTGTTTGTGTCAGACTTTTACCATGTGTACTAAATAATGTTCTCCGTTTTTTGTTTATGTCTTTTTTAATGGATTAATGGATTGTTGTAATTGTATATTAGTTGTACTGCTCGCTGAGTTGAATTGTTGGCGCTATATAAATCAATAATTATTATTATTCTATTTTATTTGTTGTTTGTGATGTCTGTATAGTGTGTCCTGTCCGTAGGTTTGTCTTGTGTAATTGTTTGTGTGTGGTGCAGTCCCCCTGATCTTATTATTACATTAAGCATAATATTCCCACCGGATACCGCTTACGACTAGCTTCCGGATTCATTCACTTGATCTGATATGCATGTTTGTGATTTCTGTATATTGCTGGATCACGGTGGCTAAGTGGGTAAGACGCTGGCTCACTAGCCTGGAGGTCGGGTGTTCGATCCCTGCATTGGCCGAGAAAGTTCATCCAGATTTGCGTGGTTCCCCCTTGTCAGTAATGCAGGACGGTGGGCCTGACAAGGACAGCTGTCTAGTTGTCTTGACAGTTGGAATTCGATATAACAATAGGCCGTAGTGCCGCTGTCCGGGCAACATTTCCCTCATAGCACACTGTATGATGTATGCCCGTCTTCATTAGCCCAGTTTCATTTCATTTCTGTATATTGTGTCTTGTCCGTAGTTGTATCTTGTGTAATTGTTTGTGTGTGGCACAGTCCCCCTACACTTACGATTAAACATGCATTATGCAAGAGCAAAATCTGCTTATTACAAGTCTTTCTTTAGGCCTGAAATGCTATCTAAATTATCAATTAGACATTAATTAACTCATCCAGACCATAATAAACTCTCGATGTCAAGGCTAGCCTTCGATGTTGGCTGGATTAGATTCCTATATGCCGCTAACGGTCATTGAAAATTAAATCAAAAAAAGTGGATAATCTAGTCCATGCTGTTTATAGTAATGATTTTAGTAATGATGACCGAGACTATGCAAAAATTTCACCCGCTTCTTTCTCGGCTCATAGTGGATCAATTTGACTGAAATTTTCAGCAAATTACCTTTACACTATCTAGTTTTTAACTATTATAGCGAGAACTGCCATCTCTTTATCTTATCTCCCATAATGTATCTTTAATAAGAGCATAATTGAAAACATAAAGCTGCATGCTATTTCTCTTATAACCATTCCCGCAGTCTCATCAAAATCAGATATAATTTCTTTTCAATCTCTGATTTTGTATTATGTTTTATAATGTCATTTGTAGAATATATCGAGCGTCCTCAATCCACGACATCCCGCTGACTTTTGGCACTTTACAATAAATGAAGCAAAAACATATTGAGTATATTAACATACGGAAGTACAGCGAAAATCATAACATTGATGACAAAACATTATTCAAGCAATTATAAAATAGTTATCTCGACCTTGAATATAAGGAAAGGATGTGAAATTAATCAACCAATTAGATCATCATACTAAAGTCGGTTCGATAAAAAATATCGATTATCCATTTTGACGTTAAATCATCCATCACAAAATGTATTCAAATCCAGTAAACATCACAGGCTAGCGATTGCACCGAGAATGGATTATCTGGATGAGTTAATAAAAGTCTAACTTATAATTTAGGTAACATTTCAGGCCTAAAGAAAAAGACCTGCAATAGGCAGATTTAGCTCTTGCATAATGTGTGTATAATACAGGAAACAGTAGACTTGTCGTCAAGTCGTGATATTAAAAACACTATCATAACATGAATGGCAAATAATCGTGATCTTAATTTTTTATTTTAAACTTCGGTGACGATTGTGTGAATTTATAATTTGATATATATATTTAAAGAGGCTGGGGTTAATATGATATGATATTCTCATTTGCAAGGGTTCAAAATTTGATGTTAGAATTTGAAAGATGTGTTATAAATGTGCCCATCCTTAACGGCAGAAACATTTTAATGACTTCAAAATGTTCATCATCAGATAGAACATGTCAAATATCTAAATTCTAGAACATTCCTTAAACAAACTAATACAGGGTGTTAGGAATTCAGAGTTTAAGATGCGATAGAGTGCAAGTAGAAATAGTAATAGGAGCGGCCGAGAAATTTCACCATGGAGGTAGAGAAAACTGACTCAGATTGCTGCAGGATCAGTTTTCATAGAACCATTAGAATGATAAATGGAGAGATAGAACTAATTAAGCTTTGATTACAAAATGTCACCGTAACTTTTACCAGTTCGTTTAAATCTTAATGGTTAAGTTTTTCTTTGTTTTTATATGCTCTAATTTTTAAATTTATTTCAGAGTCTTGGATGGGAGCCATGCACGGTAAGATGCGTTTACTGTTTTTTGTAGAATAATTAAACATCCCTCTAAAAGTACAACACGGACCGTGAGAAGTTATATTAGTTATTTGAAGTTCGGTGGAGGGGAGGGGGCGGTGGCTGGGTGACTCAGTGAGTAAGACGTTGGCTCGCTAACCTGGAGATCCCGGTGTTGGCAGAGAAAGTTCATTGGAAATTTCCGGCGTGGTTCCATATTGTCAGTGGTGCAGGACAACGTATATAGTGGTTCGGATAGTACGAAAACCGAGGTCCCGTGTACACCTTGGCGTGCACGTAAACGACAGTTGGAATTCGATATATAAGTAGGCCGTAGTGCCGCTGTCCGGGCAAAATTCCCGGTTGGTGTAGACAAGTAGAACGTTAAACCCCATTTTATTTAATTTTATTTTTCGATTTGAGTCAATGTTGATGTATTATTAATTTCTTTTTTAGCAAACAGTATTGGGGTTAAAAATGGTAAGTAAAAAAATGATCTTGTTATCAAATGCGTTTAAATAAAATAGATAATGTGCAATTCTAGATCGTTTATGAATACCATTTATGAAGGCGATCGGCATTTGCGTTTCTCGGATCGTGTACCATCTAAAGAGTTTACCCAATATTTATTGGATGCCTCTGGCGGCTTGTTTATATTGTTTAGTTTGATATAGTTTAACTTTAGTTTAAACATTGGAAAAGGATTGAACACCATGCCCCGAGTTCACAAACCATTCTCAGACTTAAGTTAAGAATTTGCTCAAAATTGTTCGCCTTCTTTTAAAGATTATGGCCTATAGCCCCGGTCATCATTACTAAAGTCGGTACAATAAAAAAACATAGTCTCGATTATCCATTTCATGATTTAATCATAAATGAAACTTGAGCAGCAAATCGGATCCTTATCCAGTAAATATCGCAGGCTAGACAATCTCGACAACAATCACGTGCCCTAACCTTGACAAAAATTGAGCTGGCCTTAACAAATAGATTTAGCCCAATACACCCAAAATGGTATTAAATCTAAATATAATTTTTTCTCAAACAATCAAACAAATGTGAATATATTATTTTATTAATTTTCCAGATGGTATGATGATGGGTATTGATAAAAGTGAGACATTTTTAATTCTTATTCTGAGCGCGAGAGAGAGAGAGAGAGAGAGCGAGAGAGAGAATTAACTCGATCTATTTATATTTAAATCGATTAATAACAATATGAAGCATAATAGCTATTGTATATAGTGTATTAAACTGCTTTTCATTATTAGTATATAATTTGTATTGTAAATAGGAATAAGGGTCTGACATAGGCAGTTTGTCTGTTCCCCAACCTCCCAAGCATTTATTGTTAATAAAATATGTCTTAAAATAAAAATAAAAATAGCTATTGTTTTTAAAAATTATAGTGGGTATTGCGACATCTTCCGTATCTAGCTAATTGTTATGGGTATTTTAATGTGTTTTGTTTTTTTGTATTTTTCAGTAAATTGGATGGGTGAAGATCAAGGTATGTAATTCTTGTTTTTCGTTGCGCTCTATTTGTATTTTCCTTGGTTTTTTTCGTAGAATCAATGGTTACGGCCATGGTAAATTATGGTCGACTGTTTTAATGGGCTGGTGTTTTATACTTATGTTGCTATTAAAATTTTGTAAAAAATGTCTTCAGGTGTTTTGGGATTGGATACTTGTTAAATGATTCTTTTTCTGGTTTTATTTTATTTTTTAATTTTTTTTTTTTGCGGGGGGGGGGGGGGGGATATTATTTGTTTAAGTTTTAAAAGACTTTACGGCTGTTTTCTTTAGTTGGTTGTCGAGTACGCAGTATTTTTGGAGGGTGCAGAGCGGAGAGATGGCTTTATTTCGACTCTTCATTAATTGCAAGACTATTCTAATTTATTCTAATTCTTTGTTGTTGTTCCCGGTCTTGATTAAATGAGGGGTTGGATTGCCGAATGGTTAGCGTGTGCGCGCTGTATCATAAGGTCTGTCATTGAGTCTTCTGGCGTGGTTTCGATTTCCCAGTTGTACGTAACAAGGAGTAGGGTCGCCTATCCAACCTCGTGGGTTTTCTCCGGGTCCTCGTGTTTCCTCCCACCACTAAAAACTCCTACGAGCTAGCCAATTATTGAAATAAAATTGACCTAGTTTGTGTCGAGTGGACGTTAAACATCAGGACGTTAAAACACCAATTCATGTGGTAGGGTGACCCACCATAAATAAATATCTCCAAATATCTCGACAATTACGCCACAATATTTATATATATGCCAAGCCTCAAATCAGTTTCACACAATTATAGTCACTAAATAAACGATCATGTTGTACTTAATAAGCTGTGACCATTAATCATCTATAAATACTAGACTGAAAACTGGTTCCAAGTTGCGTCCATAACATCCAGACACTTTTGAGTAAAAGATAGGTTACGTGCCCTTGTTTTGAAATTAGTCTCGCTTAACCAGTCTATCGACCATTCTACGTCTGATTGACAGGTCGGGATAATCAAGACTACTTTTTTACGAAACATAACAGAAAGCTAGAACAAGAAATTGAATTTAGAAATAAGCACTTTAGACAACTCAACAATTGTTTTAAGAAACTTGTAAAAGTAAAATGAAACTACTGCTAGTATCATGTTCCTGCTAAAGAAAGTGATTCAGAGATAGTATTTGTACTAAACCAAAAGATGCCGCTCTTAACGGTACAGTTAATGATAAAGCAATTTAAAAAATAAAACAAACGTAATTACTAAAGCTGCTGTAATAACCAAGAAGCTAAATTTTACTGCTATTCAAAATCGTCAACAATAGATTTTTTACGGCTGTAATAGTTGATATATTGTAGAGAATTGCACGTGCCATGGCTATTTATCGACTCAAAGCGAGTGCGGGGTAGTCAGAAATCAGTTCGAGACACGCAACTGAAGCGTGCACATTTAGCCGTGTCGAGACCAACTTTCTGTAAAGTGCACGGGTCATCCTACATGTGGTTGTTGTTCGCACGAGTAGATCCGCTAAGATGATACGTATGACAACTCCCACGTGTCTATTAACACCATTCCTTCCAAGACCAATACTAATTCACAAACAATTCGTTCATCATCGCTTTTATTGCGCCTTGTAAAATGTTCTGTTTCCTATTTGAATATGGCTGTGTTAATTGAATGAAAGTATTTTTGTCCTCTTGCTTGTGTTTATGTTGCTTTACTTTCATTTTGCCAATCGTTCGTAGATTAACACATCATTAACCGATCTATATCTAGCCATAAAATAAACAAACTTTACTGCTTTTTCACTCTTTTTTACCAAAAAATCCCCAACAAAATCACCAAAAAGTTTAAAACGTGTTCAACGAACTCTTGTTTTTCCCCCATTCTTGCGAAGTAGTTAACATTTCTGATCTGAATTAGCACTGTTGATATTTGTTATTTTCTTCTTTTTTTTTCAAATGTTCGCTTGTCTTTTTAAATCCACGCTCATACTGCGTTTCATTATTAATGGATGGTCTGATCAGTTTACATATTACCAGTGTTTTTGTTCCTACTGCTTTTAATTGTTTTTGTTCTGTTCTATTTTAAGACGTGGATCTGTTCAGTTTCAAAGTTTAACAACCTCGTGCATGTTTCCGGTTCTAATACATAACGCAACGAAACGAAACACATAAAGACATTTTTGTTGTTGGCATTCACTGTGTTATGTCTATACGGAATCGTTGATGTCTTCACAAAAACGTGCACAGATTTAAAGGAATACTAAAGTCTTCGCGCAGAAAAATGCACAGGTTTAAAGGAAACCTAAACTCTTTACGCACAAAAAGTTGCAGGTTTAATGGAATACTAAACTCTTTAGCACAAAAGTGCACAGATTTAAAGAAAACCTGCACAAAAAGTGCACAGATTTAAAGAAAACCTAAACTCTTCACGCACAAAAAGTGCACAGGTTTAACGGGAAAATAAACTCTTTAGCACAAAAAGTCAACAGATTTAAAGGAACAATGAACACTTCGCGCACACAAAGTGCACAGATTAAAAGAGAAACTAGACCCTACGCGCACAAAACGTACACATATTAAAGGGAAAACTAAACACTATGTGCACACAAAGTGCATAGATTTAAAGGAAAACTAAACTTTTCGCGCACAAATTTAAAGGAAAATTGAAGCATGACATGAAATGAAATGGGTTTTAACGTCCAACTGTTCTGCTCCGACTGATTGATATTAAGAGTTATCTAACCCGAAACAGAATGAATTTGATTGATATTTTAAGAGTTTCAAATCCCAGAAAGGTTGCGATATTTGGCCGATTTTAAGAGTTACCTACCCCGACACCGAATGATTTTAATTAATTGTTTTAAGAGTTATATATCCCCCACCTCAGAAACAAAATGATTTTAACCGATTTTAAAAGTTACGTAAATGATAAGATCAGTTATTTGTTTGTCGGGTAAAGAATGTAACGACCGACTAAATACCGAAAAAGAGTCGCTTGCCCTTCTAACTGACATATTTTCATAGATATTTGTTATTTTTTTTTTTTACTTTTGGACAATTTAGTTTCAATATGGAAGGATGCAATAGCGAATTGTTTAAAGGGTGTCACTTGGATCCGATCCTTGTCCTTTTTGAGACTTTAGTTTTAATACCGATGGATGAAAATATGAAATTGCTTAATACGGATGGATTTATAAAAATGAATCTTTTAAAGAAGGGGTCACGTGGATCGTCAACGCCTTTTTGTGTTTTGGGGGTTGGATGACCGAATGGTAACACGTGCGCGTTGTATCATAAGGTCTGTCATTGAGTCAACTGGCGTGGTTCCTATCCCCGGTTGTACGTGACAAGAAGTAGGTTCGCCTGTCCATCCTCGTGGTTTTTTCCGGATCCCCCGGTTTCCTCCCGCTGCTAAAGACCCCTACGCGCAAGCGAATTAATGAAATAAAATTGGACCATATTTTAGTCCCGAAATGACCTGATTTGTGTCGAGTGAACGTTAAACACACACTCTCTCTCTCTCTCTCTTTTATAAAATGTATATTTATATATTTAAAGGGTATAACAATTTTGATTACTAATCTCAGGGAATTCTGTGATTCCAGTACACCTTTTTGTTATAAGAGGATTACTACTTTAAAAGGTTTAATCTCGACGCCATTTTTTTTTTTTTTTCATTTTCGTTACACGTACACAGCTTGTTATTCTCTGAGTAAATAATTAACATTCAAAGCAACTTGTGCCAAATGCCAGTATACTTCTTTCCCTAATAATTAAGGACAATTATGTAAACTGCCGCCTACCTGCTTGTCAGAATCATCGGTGATAATTCATTCTTAGTCTACTTGTTGTATCATAAGATATGATCAGAGATAGATATCTGGGAGTTGTCTTTGCTTAGATAAAGATTCCACGAGACATTGATCAGTAAATAACGACCAAAATAACCCCATATACTTTCCTGTAATATGACACATTTGTGGCTGACGTGCCATCAAACTCATTTCTGACATACTTTTGACGTATTTTTAGATCAGGAACACTAATTATTCTACCTTTTATACCCTGTGAAAATGTTGGCATATCTTAGACCACCGTTTAGTTAACGTATTATCGAACAAGTTTTTCGCTTATCACCTATTTATTGCAAATTACTCCAAAAAAAACGAAGACCAAAAAACTAACATTGTTAATGTTGATGCTGGATGTTGGCACACCCGTTAAGACCGAGAATGTTAGGAAATCTGTTAAAGGAATTATGTCAAATTCATACAGTGAGTCACATATTAAGTCGAATCATTTGAAACGCGTTAATTGTATTTAGATTTGGTGTCAACTTACATACAACACGGGGGTTTGAATGGCCGAATGGTTAGCACGTGCGCGCTGTATTATAAGGTCTGTCATTGAGTCAACTGGCATGGTGTTGATTCCCCGGTTTACGTAACAAGGAGTATAGTCGTCTGTCCAACCTCGTGGGGTTTCCTCCGGGTCCTCCAGTTACCACCCACTGCAAATACCCCTACACGCAAGCGAATTATTGAAATAAAATTGAACTATATTTTTGTCCCGAAATGACCTGGTTTGTGTCGGGTGGACGTTAAACCCCATTTCTCTCTTGGTCAAATTCATACTGTGATTTACATGGTAATAAGCGCAAAAAATGAACACAATTATAACATTTCTTTCAATCTTAGTTTCCTAATTTACACATGCAAATTTAACGTAACTCGGATATTGTGGGTTGGTGGTGCCTGGTGAACATTTCTTTTTTCCAGGCCGTTTGTGACAGGAACATTTTTACGAACATTCCCAAAGTAAATTTTGATTTGGGACATTTAACTTCCAAGTGCAATTTCTCATCCGTTTGTAACCAGAACTTGACAGTTCCGTTAGGAACGGTCTCTGATCAGGCAATATGAACATACCGCTTTATCCCCATCTCTGTTCTAAGACTATTTGGGAACCCTTCCTTATCGTCTATTTTCATCGTGATTCTTTACTTTGTTCGCCAAAAGAAATCATTTCACGCCATAGTTGACACAAATTTACAATAATTCCACCAATTAGTCTACCAATATGAAACTGGTGTTTGCGCAAACCGGAGGTCGCTGGTGCGTGGCCGAATCGCAAAATTCTAATAGAAAATTGTGTTGAATTATACTTGATGAACTTCCTCTGTACTAAGTGTGATCGGAACTTCACGAGCTTCTTCTATAAGCAGCTGAAAAAAATTGTTTGGATTGAAAATTAAAATTAACTTGCCAATTTAAATGAAGACGCCGACGCGAAACACAAAAGAACACTATTTCAATCTGATTACAATTCAGGGACCTGTTTCACGAAATTTTAACTAAGATAAAATCCAAATTTTAGTGATTTGATTGGATATAATTAGATTGATTTTAGTGCATAGCCAATCAAATTTCAAGTATCTACTAAAATTTGGATTTTATCTTTAGTTAAAATTTTGAGAAACAGGGGCCAGATCTATATTTCGTTTCCTTTTTTTTTGTGGTACTTTCGATAGCCTACACTACATGAAGATCTGAGAAATTGTACTGGAAGGTCGTGTACGGGGTCGTACGAGCGGCTTTTGACCTATGACGTCAGACATTGATTAATCAATTAGCGTTGACGTTTCTAGTGGTTTACCCACAGTTCCGTGGATGGCACGCCAAGAACTCGCCGTAACAGACCGTTTCATTGGCTAATGCCTCTCTTCAACCAAAATGCCGGTAATATAACAACTCTTCCAGATTCTAGTGTAGTAAAGACAAGTAAAACGAAATTTTGAACTATAAAAAACGAAACGAAATAGGACCAGTGTTTTAATCGGATTGACATTATTCTATATCGAACGTGACATTTATTTCCTATATCACAAGGTGCAGTGATCGAAACGCGCGAATGAAATTCTGTTTGACATGAAATTAAACAAATTTCCTTTCACTTCTGTGAACGAAATTAAATCCGAAAGAATAACACGAGTTGTTATTATTGCAAACTTTAACACAATTGGAGCATGCAATGGTTTCCATATCACCATTTTTTTCATTAATTATGGCGATATCCAATTTAAATACGTTTTTAAACTTACGACGTTTTCAGAATTAAACTGTTTAACAAACAGAAAAACATGTTTAAAGTACACAGAGATTGGGGGAAGCATCGTGTAACTCAAGGATTCATAATCAATTAACGAACAATGTTTGTTGACATAAAAACATCAATATCAGATTATAATAACATTAAACTCGTCTAACCACAAGAACAATGTTAAAGGCATTAAAAATGAAATGAAATGGGGGTTTAACTGTAGTTTAACAAACAGCTCTTTATTCGGTGTTTTTAATTCTTTAGTTCTTTTAAAATCCATAGACCTTCATTGTTATTTCTTCATGTATTTAGATATTTGTCTACTGAAATTAACATTTGTATCTTAAAATCAAATATGTGTTTTACAAATCAGATATTTGTCATATCATATTGTATATTGTATCTTTGTTTAATTTAATTGTTTATTAAAATAATGACAAAATCAAAAAATTGCATTTACATTTTATCAGAATCAACAAAAAACTAATCTCAAACAGCAAATTGCCAAATACAGATCTCCAAATATCAATCTTGCAAAATAAGTGTCAAAAAACTTTTCTTCAAATTCACCTAATAACGTCCACTAGGTCATTTCGGGACTAACACATGGTTCAATTTTATTTCAACAATTCGCTAACCATTCGCCCCCAACCTTCTAGTGGTTTAGAAATGAAATGAAATGAAATGGGGTTTAACCTCCTATTGTTTTGCTCCTAAACTGGACAAATGAAGACAGGCATGGGCCATACAGTGTGCTATGAGTGAAATTTTGCCCGGGCAGCGGCGCTAATAGGCCCATTTTACATCGGGCTTTCAATTCGGTAACCATCATACCGGAAATTTATGCTGACGTGCACGTAAAAGAACGAAGATGAGACATAATATGTCCCTTCATAGCACGAGGCACATCCGGTCGGTGCAAGAATTGGAGCGTTAAGCCGTATTTTATTTTATTTCATGTTTTTGTCGTTTTGAATTATTAAATCCACACCTCGTCTTGTTTGGCTCGCTTGTACATTTGTATTTAATTTTCAATTTATTTTACGTATTCTATTTTTTTTTTTTTTTTTTTTTCAGCGGCTTACGCCGAAAAATCATCTGCTGACGTCATGTTTGTCGCCGATTTTGCTCAAGCTGACAGCCCTGATGTCGCCAATACTCTAAATGTCATAGGGAATACCGCACGTGCTCTTGATGTCGGCAAAGACTCTGTTCACATTGGTTTTGTGTCCAGCGCGTGTCCGAATTTGAATTTTATGGACTTTAACCGATATTCTAGTGGAAAAGACTTTGCCGACGCTCTGACAGGAAAAGGTGATGTATTTATCGCCGATTTATTATCCAATGCTGTCAACGCTCTTACGGGAAAAACAGCCAGGAAAGACGCACAAAGAATAATTGTGATGTTCATCAGCGGGGAAGTGAAAGACCGGAAGGAAGCAGCACTAGAAATATCTCGTGCTAAAAAGAATGACATCGAGGTTATTCTGGTGTCCACCAGTAAAGATAGTGACAAAGATATCAGACGATTATCGAAGAAACCTCGACGAGATCACATCGTATTGTTTGAAAATTTGGGACTGGGTGTAGATGTCTACACTAAAATCAGTAAATGTAAGTTAAAATAAACACGGTTTTATCATTATCTATATAACCTTAAAACATGTCATGTCTAGGGATCCGCGTTGGCTTAGTTAGTAGGACGTCGACTAGCTAACCTGGAGGTACCATGTTCGACTTTAGTTTTTTCTAAAGTCACGCAGTAATAACGGCATCCATTCAAACTATAGTAAAATGTAAAAGAATGTATAAATTCAATCTTCAGAATGTTAATAATTTATTGCTTTCTTCTTTAGTCCACTCAGTGCAGAAATATAGGACGTTAAACCCCATTTCATAGTCCTTCGGGTGATACGAAAAAACCGATGTCCCGTGTACACATTGGCGTGCATGTAAAATAATTCTTGACAGTTGGAATTCGATCGTACCTTCGTGGGTAGAAACGTAGGGCGTTAAATCCCATTTCATAGTCGTTCCATATCTTCCATATTTCCGTTTTTTTTTATATTTTTCTAGTTATACCGAAGAAGAAAGAAGGCTACCCCTTCAAGGGTTAATCCGAGGATGGTGGAAAATAACTGACTTTTATCATTTGTATATTATTTTTTAATTTACTGTTAAAATTGTTTTTATATCAAGCATAAATTATTCTCATATTTTGTACAAATTTGATCCTTTCCAAGCTTTCTAAAGGAGAGCAAGAGAGAGAGAGAGGCGTGGCCTATTGATATAGAGCACGAGACTTCGTTCCCAGTAAGTTTTGTAGGTCTAGAACACGAGGGTTCGTTCCCAGTTTTGATAGAAGGAACTCCTATTGGTCTAGAACACGAGGGTTCGTTCCCAGTAAGTTTTGAAAGAGTGAACTCCAACTGATCTAAAGGATTAAGTCACCAAGTTTTGAAAGAGGGAAGCCCTAGGGATTGAGTCAATAAGTTTTAAAAGAGGGAACTCCCACTAATCTAGAGCCCGAGGGTCTGGATCCCAGTCAACTTTCAAATAAGGACACTACTGATCTAGAAGCAATGGCGTCCCCACTAAGTTTGGTAGTTTCTCCTTGAAGGACGAATACATTTTGAACGATGTGTCGCCTGTTGATTTTTGGCCAAAGGCAAATCATAATCATCATCGTCATTTGATCGGATGTCTATTATGGCCATCTTCAACAGCATCACCACGTGAAAGTTATACAGCATTCTTCTGATGACAGGACTGGATCAATTGAGTTGTCCTTTGTACATTGAGGGCATGATCAATTGTTCTAAGTTCTGAAGGTCTGGTGTTACTTCCAAAGGAACTTGAAAAAATTGACCGATCCGAAGCCTTATTCATGAGGCAGATGAATGTTATAAAACCTTTTTTGCGAAGATGCATATGATGTGTATCGTAGCGACAGTTGTATCCGAGACTGGTCAAAAACTGGACTATTAAAGGGAATAATGTGATACCATTGCAACATCGGCCAATATATAATAACTGCGGCTTTATGGATAACATTCACATTTAATAAACCTAGTGAATGGTGTCCATAAAGCTGTCTGCTATTATGGTATTATTAGATACAATTCGAATCATGTACCTCTTTCAAGCCGGACAATATTAAATTGTTAGGGTTTTATCCACGATATAGTACTCATATTGGGCATTTAACATTTAAGTGAGATATATTGGAACAGGGTTAGAATCTGTGTAACACTAATAAGAATAAACAAAACAGCCATTATGTTACCAAATATGCAATTGCATAGCTTAGCTCTTAGACTATTTCAATAATTCGCATGCGCGTAGGGGTCTTTAGAAGTGGGAAGAAACCGGAGAACCCGGGGAAAACCCACAAGGTTGGACAGGCGACCCACTCCTTGTCACGTACAACTGGAGAAGCGCAATCACGCCTGTTGCCTCAATGACAGACCTTATGATGACAACGAGCAAGCGCTAACCATTCGGCTATCCACGCCCCCACATCACATAGCTAACAATATTCGTTGTAATTTTGTAAATATTAATAATAACAATGAGATTATTGCAGAGGTTCCCAACCTTTTGTTGGTTGCGAACCCATTCCAGAAACCAGCATCTGATCGCGACCCCTCGATAAACAACCTTACCTTTGAGTGGGCAGGCCAGTTGCCGACCATAGCTCTAAAATACCAACTGTAGACTGTGCCCCCTCCCCCCCCTGTGAGTGGGATTCCCCTAAAACTAGTTCCATTTTCCAGATCAAAATGTTATAATGGGAGACTGAAGAAAAAAATCGTGAGCGTCAGAGAGGAAAGATGATTGGCAATGTATTTGGCACGAGGTGTGTAGATCAGAGATTGTTATGCTTTTCATGAAAACATAGCTTCTTTTCAAAGTTTCAGAGCAATCTGCCACGACCCCATGAAAAGTACTGCTGCGACCCAGAGGTTGGGAACCTAGTGATTATTGTAATATTAAATGTTGTGAATATATTATGTAATTGTAGTTAACTGAAATACATTTTTATTTACATGGTGTATTTGTTTTGTTTTATTCAACAATTGGGTTCAATGTGTCTACCGGTTAAAGGGTGGTGGGAATTGGAGGGGGTTTGGGCAGGGTGGCATTGGTTTGCCAGAAGATTTTGATCAATATCTGTATTGCTAATCCTTGGATAGGTCGCAAACTGGGTTCAATCGGTCCATCGGGTAAAGGGGAGATTGGGGATTGGGGTGAGCGGGGGTGTCATCGGTTTGACAGCAGACGTTGATCAATATTTGTATCGCTAACCCTTGGATTAATTTTATCAACCATAGTCTGTATAACATTAACTTGAAATCATTGAATTATGGGTAGGATAAACCACGAGACTGGGGTTATACTGGCGTAAGAAAAACTGAAGAAAATAACCCGAAAAAGGGAGGTTTTTCTTTCTAAGGTTTTTTCTGAAGTCTTTCTTCCCCAGCATAACCGGAGTCAAGGACTTTATCTTGCTTATAAACCGTCTATGTTTACATGTACGTAATATGATAATATCCCAGAATTCCCACAAGAAAAACCTTATATCACGTTTTCTTATGGGAAAAACCCTACTCTGGAAGAATAACCTGCAACAGGTTTTACTGAAAAAAAAAACTCTCAGAAGAATAACCCCAACTTCCCCTGTATATATCCAAAGCCGCCCCCGCAAGTTATTCCGGGCATAGAATATACCCCAAAGATCAGAGAGATTTACCGTTATAGGTTTATAAATACATCAAACCGTTAGGGATGTGAAGTCAGATGACCCTGAAAGGTGTCGGAGGTGGGGTGCATGAAGCTTATGGCAAGACAACGCCTACCTCAAGACAATATCCCTAGACAGCATCGTGTTAAGTTGGGGGTCAAGTTTCTGTGGGAGGACACCCGACACCAGAGTATCCTGAATAAACCAAGTTGAGAAGGCGCCCCTATATCCAAGTCACATACACTCCCACCAGGGATTGGAACCACGACCACAAGCCAGAGGTGACCGACCAGCAAGAGCTCTCAGTGCTACACTTTTTATATTAGGCTTTATCAATTATATATACCAATCTCATCTATAATCTTTTGTCAGCAGGGGCTAAACCGATCTGGAAGAGTTGTTATATTAACTCGGGTTCTGGATGATGTGGGGGGGGGGGGGATTATCCAATGAAACGGTCTGTTACGGGGAGTTCTTGGCTTGTGGGTAACCCACAAGAAACAGCAACGTCATAGGGTCAAAAGTCGCACGTATGAACTCTGGGGTGTCCTTCCACTACAACCGGTCAGATCTTCATGTAGTAGAGGCCATCCAAAGCATAAAAAAAACGAAACGAAATATAGAGAAACGAAATAGGATCTGTGTTTTAATCAGATTGGGGATTAACTATATGGACTGTTAATACTAATCACGTGTCATTACTGTAGTCACTCAGTGAGGAGGGAAGTCAGGTCGCTCTAGAAGGTGCCGAGGGGTGGAGGGTGGTGCTTGAGGGTGGTGACCTGATAACGTAAGGTTGTTGCTCGAATTACGAGGTCGGCACCCAATGATAGTTACCTGGTCGCCTGCTGTCTGCTTCCACATCGGAGATTTCGTAAACCCTCATGCGACATTGGTATTTCGTCCCATTCGAACGGCGATGCGAAGGCCATCGGTCCAGCATCCCTGACAAGGGGAAACAACCCCGGAAAATCACGTGGAAAAGAAATGAAAAGCAATGGGGTAAAACGTCCTACTTCCCTGTGGAGACTAGGCTAATGATGACGGCTTAAGCCATTCAGTGTGCTATGGCGGAAATTTTGCCCGGACAGCGGCGCTACGGCCTCTTATTTCGAATGCCAGCTGTCAAGGGTTCATATATGTACACGCCAATGTATACACGCGACCTCGGTTTTTCGTCCCATCCAAAAGACTATACGCTGTCCCTTACCAGGCACTCAGTCTACTGTGACATAGTACCAAAGGATATACTAATAAAACTGGTTGTGGTTTCATCTGGTTTATTATAAGATGAAAGGAACAACAATATAACTATATGATAACGTACAACCTATTAGGTATTCTACATATCGTCATGGTGAGAAACCACAGCTGCTTACTATTATGTAACACTACATGACTGACAATGGGGAACCACGCCGCAAGATCCCGCTGAATTTTCTCGGCCAACATCGGGATATCGAGCCAACATAAAAAAATAACCACTCCACGATAAATATAATAACATATCAGTGTGTCGGAAATTCTCAATGAAATATAAATTGGTGTTTAAAATATATTTGTTAGTTTTCTTTAAATTCGCTCCAGGGTGAACCACTTTAGCTCGTGCCAGGGGTGGAAACTCGAGTCCCGCAATTTGAAACAGCGGCATGTGTCTAACTTACCTTATTCGTCATAAATTGCTGACTCATCTGATAAACGGGCGACTTAAGTGAAGGCTTGGAAGTGGGACTCAAATCGACTCGGTACTAAAATCAGCGACTTGGGACTCGACTCTGACCCGTAGAGGTGCGGCGACTTGTTGGGACTCGACTCGGACTCGGGGTCCCGCGATTTGTTCCCGCCTATGGCTCGTGTAAGATTGAAATGCATGCAGGATATTTGCTAATGAGAACGGAAAGAAAAGCAGCGACCAATAGCTTTATTGTTTCTAGTTTATCGTATTCACGGGGAGCTTCCCAAAAAATTGTTAAATTGTACAGTGATTTTGGCGCTACTTTGATCGTTCAAAAGTGAAAAATCAATTTGCGGTCATTCTCGAATCACCTTATCTTCATTATATTTTGTTAAAAATATTCAAATTCAATTCTGTTCTTCCTTTCTTAGTATAAAATACATTTTTGCCTTTCCTTTTGAAGTTTTAAAACTTTGTTTTATCCGTTTTTAACAAAATATGTTAACTTCTAAAGCGCGTTTCTCAAACCTCAAACATACCAAGAAATAGTGCGTTAAATAAAAATTTGTGAACGTTTAATTGGAGTTAGTTCCCTTTACTAGTTTCTAGGTCGAGCACCGGAACAGCGCCTCGCTTTGACAGTAAACAGATCGAGCCAAGTAGGATTGTATGACAATTATTTTGTGTTTTTTAAATTAATTATGAGGCCTTTTACTGTACATTGAGGTAAGTATGCAATATAATTTGTTCTCTTGAAACTTCTGGCACTTGAACGATGCTATTAATTAATTGTTGTCAAGCAGGAACATCAAAATAAAAGTTTGGAAAGTTCGTGTAAGTTTAGTCGATGGGCGAAGACGATTGAAAATGTTGATTGATTGATGGAGTGAATAGAAATGAAAGTAAGTTAGTAAGTCACTTTCACGAGTGGCACGACGTCTTCTTGTTCTATTATTAGCCACATATCTCCATTTCTAGGCTGAATAATTGACAGTATTTTCTCATATCGAATAGAAAGTTGAATGTAATTCAATTCTCATCTTGAAATTAAAGTTGATAACAAACTGAAACAAGTGCCGAACTAATAAATAGGCCTAGTTAGTAGGGCGAGCCACAGGCACTGCAACCCAACTCTTCTTCTGTCAACTCACCTACATCTGTAGTCTACATGTACATGTATTAATCCACATCCATGTCATTGTTGTTTGGTGGGGGGGGGGCGGTGTGGATGGTCAGATGGTTAGCATGTACGCGCTATATCGTAAGGTCTGTCATTGAGTCAACTGGTGTGGTTTCGATTCCACGGTTGTACGTGACAAGGAGTAGTTTCGCTTGGCCAACCCCGTGGTTTGCAAGGGATTCAAAATGATTGAAATGAAGATCAGAGACGTTAAAGAGCACATCAATCAAGTGACAAAACCAAATTTGGGGTACATTGTATGTTCACGATATATAATGTCTTTACTTTTGATAGAAGATAACCGACGGCACATTATTTCAATTTTCTTTGCTTGAATTTCCACAACTCTGAACAACACATTTTAAAATTTTAAAATTCACTCTAGACTATTCCAGTCACAAGTATGTAATCTATAACAATTCAAGATGAGAAATGTATGCTCTTCAATATGCTTTGAGTTATACATGTATTTGTAGCTTACATATATACATGTATAGACAATTGTAATGATTAGGTCTGTCAGTATGTAGGGGGGTTGGATGGCTGAATGGTTAGCGTGCGCGCGCTGTATCATAAAGTCTGTCATTGAGTCGACTGTCGTGGTTTCGAATCCCCAGTTGTACGTGACAAGGAGTAGGGTCGCCTGTCCAACCTCATGGGTTTTCTCCGGGTCCTCCGGTTTCCTCCCACTGCTAAAGACCCCTACGCGCAAGCGAATTATGTAAATAAAATTAAACCATATGTTAGTCCCAAAATGACCTAGTTTGTGTCGAGTGGACGTTAAACCCCATTTCTCTCTCTCTGTCAGTATGTTAATTGAACCATCAATACACATTAGTCACATACATGTAGTGGTGCATATTGGTATGTGTGGTCCCTATGACGTCTCTGGCCAATCAATCGGGTTAGATTAATGCTGTAATTGAAAAATCGAAAAGTGTTTTAGAGTGTCTGATACTTATAATGGTAATATGTCAAATTATTTTAATCAGATTAGTGTGAACTTTCTGTAAGTGCATATAGTAACCATTGGCTACAAGTATAGAAAATTTGGTTTGGTCACTTGATGTGTTCTTTAATCTTCACCTGCCAAACTTTTTAGACCATGTACATGTACATTGTAGTTTTTATCAAAACATACAGATATAAAATTGTATATGCAGCTCGTCAAGTAGCTTTTAAGTCTCTTACATATAATGTACATGTACGAAACAGATTCGATTTTTAGAAATATTTTGATTTGGCTGGTGTTTTATTTTGAATTTAAGGCAGTTTGCATTTGTGATCTGACAAAATGCATACCGTATACATGTATTTTTATCAGCATTTAATTTCATTTTGAATCTGTTTATTTCACCATTTATAAGATTTTAGTGGAGTTGCCGTAAATTGAGCCAGGTTGTTATCGACCAAGTAGACTGTGGAAAATGTTAGTCTATAAGTGTGCAGTTAAATAAATATTTAGACTGGGTTTATTTTGAATCCTTTAACACAAGAGGCACGTCACATTCACAACAGAATAATGTTAGTTCGCCATTTCAATACATGTACATGTAAGTGAAGAAGATCTCATGTACACTAATAATGATCCAAGCTCTTTCATAGTTGAGACGCAAAATCATTTTGCTGTTTTCTATCGTTGAGACGCAAAAATACAATTTGTTTTTTACTGTACATGTAAATCTTCGGCTGCACTTGTAAGACAAAATGAAAATAAAATGAGGTTGTACTTTTCTTCACCAACCTGGCTAGTGAAGAAGAGAGAGAAATGGGGTTTAACTTCCACTTGACACAAACTAGGTCATTTTGGGACTAACATGGTTCAATTTTATTCAATAATTCACTTGCGTGTAGGGGTCTTTAGCAGTGGGAGGAAACCGTAGGACCCAGAGAAAACCCACGAGGTTGGACAGGAGACTCTACTCCTTGTCAGGTACAACCGGGGAATCTAATAAAATGACATCATAATCCCATTAAATTGTCAAGAAAACAAATTTAAAAACATTTGGACCAAAAACGTTTTGACAGCATCAACTTTATGGAATTCTCCTCCTGAGCATGTTAGACATTCTACATCCTAGAGAACCACAGTGGCAGTGGCTCAGTGAGTAGCCTGGGGCTAAGTGAGAAGGATGCAATGACAAGCTTTGCTACATGGTTTTGAGTTTTTGCACCTCCTTGAGTTTTTCCGCCCCCTCGCAAATGGCAAAAAATCTTGCGGTTTCAATGCAGTTTTCAACAATATAATCATTATTCTTTACCGATGTCAAACATACATGTATACCGTGGGTCATATACTAATACTGTATGCTACAAATCAACTCTAGCATGTTCCATACTGCCCAATATTACCCGATGGCACTGCTATACAGTGGTCTAGAGAGTTGATTATGGTCTTATCATGTGAATATATGTCTAATTAATAATGTAACATTTGAGGCTAAACGAAAGATATACAATATGCAGATTAAGCTCTTATAAACTTTTACTTATGTAGCTTTTTTCTTCTGTTTCAGATTTATTTACCGTGAACAAGAAAGTGTTATATTTGGACTCGATCTGTGAAGATGGAAATGTTGACCATCAAGCCGGGAACTTTCTCCGATATGACTTAGAAATAAAAGTTCACAAATAACAGTGTACATACATACATACTGTTTCAAACATCTGTCAAACCAAAATATTTTCTGTGCTTAATTTGCCAGTTTTTTGGCACACTGAGTAGTGATCTAATTTTTAAAAATATTTCTCAACAAATTCAACAGGAAAATGTGATCCAAGTTTTAGCTATTTGTGTGTTTAGCGGTTGGAGTTATTTAATTTTAATTTTATTTTTTAACATTTTTATTTTGATTCTTTTTGAATTAACATCAATGGGAATCATAATTACGAAATAATTGTTACAGTTTAATAACGATTATTGAAATTGGAGTATTGCGTTAAAGCTTTATTAATCACCATGACAGCAGGATTTGAAGATCGGCAGTTTATATCCTGTCTAAAGAAACCAGCACCTATCCGGACAGAAGAGGTAATATATTTAATAATATGGGGAGGGGAGGGGGTGAATGGTTATCACGTGCACGCTGTATCATAAGGTCTGTCATTGAGTCAACTGACATGGTTTCGATTCCGTCATTGTACAGTGTGTACGTGACATTTAAGACCTACGATTTTCAGAAAGACCTGCAATAAACAAATTGAGTTCTAGCCTGTTTAAATAATAAATCAAAATGTGGCTGACCGTTCTAATCTACATGTACTTTATATCAGAGATACATGTATCTAATTATGGTCTTGTCATAATAAATGTCTGATTAATAGTTTATGTAACATTTAAGACCTACAGAAAGACCTGCAATAGACAGATTTAGTTCTTGCATAATGTTCCGGCGTGGTTCCCCCTTGTCAGTGATGCAGGATGGAGGGCCTGACAAGGACAGCTGTCCAGTCGTTCGGATGGGATGAAAAACCGAGGTCCCGTGTACACATTGGCGTGCACGTAAAAGATCCTTTGACAGTTGGAATTCGATATAAGAGTAGGCCGTAGTGCCGCCGTTTCTGCAAAATTTCCCTCGTAGCACACTGTATGTTGTATGTCTGTCTTCATTAGCCCAGGTTAGGAGCAGAACAGTAGGACGTTAAACCCCATTTAATTTCATTTCTTGCGTAATGCCTGTTTAAATACATGTAATAAGAATGCTGTTGTCACTAACTTTATTCTCGCAGTGTTTAAAGCACGTTATCTTTATTCTTCCAGTGTTCTACCATTTAAAGCTCTTTATCTAGTTCTCGCAGTGTTTAAAGCTCTGACCATTTGTTAACTTAAAACCAATTGGACGACAGACAACACCTTTTGTTCTTGTATTATTGTCTTTACAAATATAAACAATACATTTTCTCGTGAAATTATGGATATTTTCCTCACAATATGAGTATGTGTATTGTGCCACTGCATGCTTCACGCACATGTGGTTTAGTTTTCCTCTAGAAATATAGATCAATATTGTTATTTAAACATTTGTCCAAACAGAACGAAACTTTCTGTCAGAATATTAAATGTTTAGACATTTAGAAGTATTTGATATTGATTAAACTTATGTTATATAACAATTCAATATTGATTCGTTTCACACAAACTGGTGGGCTGTTCTATTGCCGTACACCATATACAAACATTTAGGGTTGGGGAACCATACATGACAAGGACAGCTGACTAGTCATGCGGATGGGACAGAAAACCGAGGTCCCGTGTATACATTGGCGTGCATGAAAAGATCCCTTGACAGTTGGAATTCAATATACGAGTAGGCCATAGTGCCGCTACCCGGGCAAAATTTCACTCATAGCACACTGTACGACGTATGCCCGTCTTCATTAGCCCAGTCGGAGCAGAACAGTAGGACGTTCAACCCCATTTCATTTCCATTGAAATTTGTCTTTTTACTTCATCCATGAACAATACAAAACATTTTAGTCAATAAATAAATTAGACCATGTACACAAACCTTTTATGTGCCTACTTTAGACTTAAAAAAATGGTATTTTTAAAAGTAAACGCAGCAAATTTTTTTGACTATTTTCGTTGGTTTAATTTGATCTGTCCATGAAGTTGAACAAATAAACCCTTGACTTCTTTAAGAAAATTAAAATGTCAAGAAGTCATGTTCACTGTCTCAACTTCTCAAGTAAAATGACATTTAGAAAAAAAAAAACAAATGTTATATTTTTAACAAATGGATCTATTTATTAGTTATATAAGTGTATAGTCTATGTAAATCAAATACATTGTAGGTTGCTGTATGATAGAAATTTTTAATTTTCTTAAATAGAGCTACATGTAGTTATTCATGTGCAGTTATTTTTAAGACAAGGGGGTTGGATGGTTGAATGGTTAGCGCGGTGCATATTGTATCATGAGGTCTGTCATTGAGTTAACTGGCGTGGTTTCGATTACCCGGTTGTACATGACAAGGAGTAGGCCTTAGGGTCGTCTGTCCAACCTCGTGGGTTTTCTCTGGGTCCTTTGGTTTCCTTCCCACTGCTAAAGACCCTATGCGCAAGCGAATTATTGAAATAAAATTGAATCATACATGTATGTTAGCCCCGAAATGACCTAGTGGACGTTAAACCCCATTTTTCTCTCTTTTAAGACCAGACTTCAGAATAGATCCACTAATTTCAAAACTATATTGTATGTAGGCCCTACCGTAAAAAGGTAAGAGTTCAGGTACATGTACTGGACATGAACATTGTATAGGAGTAAAAATAAATTGGACAAATTCTCAATCTAATTAAAATACAGATCTACATGTATATTTCGTTTTGTTTTTATATACTTTTGATGGCCTACACTACATGAAGATCTGGCCGCTTGTAGTGGAAGGTCGCATCAGGTGTCGACTGGTAGGCCTGTCATCCTTCAATAACCAGGTCTTCATAGCCACTCTTATCTCTTATATTACATGTACATGTACATGTGTGCTTTGTTTGGTGTGGTCGTCCTGTAATTTAAATAATGTATGTCTATTTCAGGATTTAAATAATATCTATGCGTATTTACATGGTATGGAAGCGTTATCGACGTTACGTGAAGTAGCCATCAGGAATCTGTGTAAATGTGTTAGATATGAACAACATGATGCTAATGATATCTTATACTGGTGAGTATTAATAATTTTACGAGCCACGGTGGCTAAGGGGGTAAGATGCTGGCTCGCTAGCGTGGATGTCGCTTGTTCGATCCCTGCATTGGTCGAGAAAGTTCATCGGGATTTTCCGACATGGTTCCCTGTCAGTGGTGCAGGATGGGAGGACCAGACAACAACAGCTGTCTAGTCATTCGGATGTGTTGAAAAACCGAGGTAGGCCTACTGTGTATACATTGGCGTGCACGTAAAAGATCCCTTGGCAGTTAGAATTCAATGTAAGAGTGGGCCATATTGCCGCTACCCGGGTAAAATTTTCCTCATAGTACCCTGTATGGTGTATACACGTCTTCATTAGCCCAGTTCGAAGCAGAACATTAGGACATTAATCTACATTTCATTTCAATTTCTTTTCCATTTCTCTCTCTCTATGATGCAGGATGGAGGGGCTGACAAGGAAAGCTGTCTAGTCGTTCGGATGGGACGAAAAACCGAGGTCCCGTGTACACATTGGCATGCACGTAAAAGATCTCTTGGCAGTTGGAATTCGATATAAGAGTAGGCCGTAGTGCCGCTGTCCGGGCAAAATTTCCCTCATAGCACACTGTATGGCGTATGCCCGTCTTCATTAGCCCAGGTTAGGAGCAGAAAAGTAGGACGTTAAACGCCATTTCATTTCATTTCTCCCTCTCTAACGGCATACAAAGTGCCCCAGACACAGGCGGTACAACCTACTCTTATAAGTTTGAACTCCAACTGTAGCTTTCTTCGTCCAATGTCATTGAGTCAACTGGTGTGGTTTCGAATCTCTGGTTGTACGTGACAAGGAGTAGGGTCGCCTGTCCAACCTCGTGGGTTTTCTCCGGGTCCTCCGGTTTCCTCTTACTGATAAAGACCCCTACGCGCAAGCGAATTATTGAAATAAAATTAAACCACATGTTAGTCCCAAAATGACCTAGTTTGTGTCAAGTGGCCGTAAAACCCCATTTCTCTCTCTCTCATTCTTCGCCTAATCCCATCTTCCAGGTACTAAGATAAGATAAGATGTTTATTGCATCAAAACGTCCATGAAGGACAGCATGCATATACACTTAGACATAGTCATATACATTTAATGATACATACTAGACACTGTCCTGAGCAGACCCCCCGCTGTCCTTCATAAATTTATTAATAAATTTTGCATCCTCCATAATGATACTGTAGGATCCTGTTGTGATTTTTGTATTTCAGTCAAGGAGAGTTGGCTTTGTGTTGGTATATATTATTAAGTGGTTCAGTATTTATAGAGGGTTCCATGTTTCTACCCAGAAGCAGGTCAGTACTTTATATATACCCTGTTAATCATAGTTTACACTTTAAACACAAAATACAATTTAACTCAATACACACAAAAACATTATACATTACACATAAAACTCATTTTACACGAAAACATTAAACTAAAAAATGTTACACATTTTAACTCAATACACACAAAAAACTTTATACAATTTTACTCAATACACACAAAACATTATACAATTTTACTCAATACACACAAAAACATTTTAACTCAATACACACAAAAGCATTATACATTTTAACTCAATACACAAAAACATACATTTTAACTCAATTCACACAAAAACATTCATTTGAACTCAATTCACACGAAAACATGCATTACACTTAAAACATTATACATTACGCATAGAATGCATTTCACACAAAAACATTATACATAAAAACATTATAAATTACTCTTAAAAAATTTTACATTACACATAAAGATATTAAAAATAGATTTCAACATATCGAAACAATTTAGATTTTAACATTATTGAAACATTGTACACAAAACATAGATTTTAACATTATTGAAACATACAAATTTTATATATTCTAACATTGTCTAAACATAAAAAATTACACATATTTATTATGCATTATGCCCAAAACATCGTAGATAATAAGTTTATGATATTATGTAATTATATATATGAATATTACATATATTTAAACAGAGTATTGGGTTTACCTGTACATACATGTAAGACATGTTGTAGAGGTAATTTACCTGCAATATGCATTTTTACATAAATCGATCTGATAAAAACACAAATCGTATTTCGTTTTTTATAGTTCAAAATTTGTTTTGTCTGTACTACACTAGGATCTTGGAGAGTTCTTATATACTCTCATTCTGGTTGAAGTGAGAGATTAGCCAATGAAACCATCTGTTACGGCGACTTCTTGGCGTGAGGTGCATGGAACTGTGGGTAAACCACTAGAAACGTCAAAGCTTGTACAATCTTTGACGCGAACTCCCACTACAACTGGTCAGATCTTCATGTAGTGTAGATCATCGAAAGTGTAAAAAAAACGAAACGAAATATAGATCTGTATTTTAATCTGATTGAACCTAAATAATTCCAGTCGACATATTTATTGTCACAATTTGATTACTAGAGTGAACATCCCTTTTTGGTGTTTTGGCCATGTTTGATCTATGTAATACATGTACACCAAGATGTTGTACATGTATACCTATAAAGTTGTATTATTACAGTTATTGAAGATATTATAACTTGTAGTCCAAAATGGAAATTTCTTGGATTCTGATTCATCAAAAAGTAAAAGTGGGGTCGAATAAGTATGACATTCCTCTAAATTTCCTGGGCGACTCACTGCAAGTGAATATTTCCTGAGTACTAGAATCTCTTTGCAGTGGCAAAAAATTCTACACCTCAAAACTTTGTTCTAGGAAATCTTCATGTACATTATATATATACTGTATTGTACACCATACACAGGTGGCTAAATCTATTTCTTAAGGCCAGCTCAATTTTTGTCAATGGTCGCTGAGATGTAAATAAGGTTAGGGCATGTGATTGTTGACGAGCTTGTACGTTAGGGTTAGGGTAAGCATTAGGGCTAGGTCCGGGGTTAGGACTAGCATTAGCCCTGTTGACACGCATGACCTATGAATCAAAATTGAGCTGGCCTTATCATTTAGCACTAACCATACACATTACAAGAGTTTTAAAGGAGCTAAATTGCTAATATTTGGGTCCTAGAAATTGACACAAATAGGTCGTAACGCATATACTGATGTAATAGGAATATATATAAACTGATTTATATTCAATCGTTACCATTTTTAATCTAATTTCAAATCAGTTACGTTTGGTGAAATATGTCTGAAGTCTCAATCGAATGAAAATTTCTAGCGTCTGGTTATTCTAGTCTGCATAGTATTTATTGCACATACTCTCCCGATATGAATATGCCGTCATCGTTTGACATGACTTGTTGAATGTCTCGTCTCGTTCTTCGAGTCCCTTGTAAGAATGGGCCTGAAACGCATTATGGTACACGATTCGTGTACCAGTGGTAAAATGTTTATTTTGTCTTAAATATTGGATATCAGAAGCCCATCTTTTCCCGGTAAGATCACAACATCAATGTTGATTTAAATTGACAAATAATTTGTGTTTTCAATGTCGAAGATTTTGGATGATATTGAGTTAGAGACTTAGCTACTTTAAGTAGTGAATGTGAAGTATTTGACTTATGTTGTTTAAGGGAAATAACTCCTCTATTACTACTAGACTAATTATAAGTTTTTATTTTAACAGCTGGCTATGTTGTAAAACTGGAGAATGTGAGATATATTTACTAAGCTTAGGCTGACCTTAAAAATATCTTTGTTTCACCAAACCCGACCCACAATCGAGGAGAAGGGTCGGTAGGTCGGTTTTTTTTTCAAATTTTTTTTTAAAGTCAGAGAAATCAATACAGAAAACTTATTAGCTGTATACTACAGATTCATTAATTTTGTTTAATGAATTTGGGGTCTGACGTAAAAAGTAACGAACTGAAAGTTTTTATTAAACTTAAGAGCTAATTTGACAGCTTAATAATTTTCCGGGTGGAAACATTCGTCTTCTTTATTGGCAAACAAATCAATGACATCGGGATTTTTCGTGATGCCCGACTCGCACACGATTAGCCACGAACTTGAAGTGTGAAACTCCTTCAACACGTTTTTAACGATAGTGCGCGTTGTGCTTTCATTTTTCTCGAAAACGGATATTGAAAATATCGTCGTCATGTTTAAAACTACGCACCACAGACATAGAGGCAGAATTATTTTGTGGGAATGGACGTGTATTCGTCTGCAACCATTTTGTTGAGAAGCGACACCTATGACGCTTTCGTCTTGATCAACCAGTTTCAATAATGAATCAAACCATAGCCATAGTATAGGGAAATAACTCTCATGATATATTTCAGGTTGACACACAAAATAAAATAAAAAGATCGTGGAAAAGTGCAATAAAATAATTTAAGTCGGGGGTGGTTTTAGTTAGTCGGTCGCGTTAGGCGAAACAAAGATATTTTTAAGGTCAGCCTTATCCAACAAACTATTTAAGTTGTATTTGCCATAATCAGTAAATGATTCTCCTGAAATGTAACATCCTACTTTTATGCACTGGCTTGGATTAATATAATAATAATAATAATATTGTATAGTTGTGTTGTGCCTGTGCTATCCACAAATGCAGGCTCTAGGTTCCATGGGGGGTTGGACGGCCGAATGGTTAGCACATGCGCGCTGTATCATAAGGTCTGTCATTGAGTCAACTGGCTTGGTTTTGATTCCCAGATTGTAGGGTCGCCTGTCCAACCTCGTGGGTTTTCTCTTGGTCCTCCGGTTTCCTCCCACTGCTAAAGACCCATTACGCACAAGCAAATTATTGAAATAAAATTGAACCATGCGTTAGTCCCGTAATGACCTAGTTTGTGTCAAGTGTATGTTAAACCCCATCTCTCTCTCCCAAGGTGCCATATCTGTAAACTTTACACTATTAATAACTTGATCACTTAGATTCAAAGTTAAACAAATGAGTTTTCAAATATCCTTTAAAAGATTCGACTGAGCTTGAAGTTTTAACACTGTGTGTGGTAAGCTGTACCGAAAAATTGCTGCATTGTATCTGAAGGATTTACACCACTGTCTGGACAAAGTTTGCCTCATAATACATGTACATGTAGCACACTGCATGGCATTTGCTTACAGATATCATCCTGGTGGGTTTAGAACAGTAGGACATTTAAAGATACATTATGGGAGATTCGATAAAAAGTTGAATGCTCTCGCTATAATAGTTAAAAGATAGATAATGTAAATAGAAAGTTGAAAATTTCAGTCAAATTGCTCCAATCTGAACTGAGATATTAGCTTTTGAATTTTATGCTGGCCTCAATCATCATTACTAAAGTCGGTGCAATAAAAAACATAGTCTTGATTATCTATTGTTGGATTTTATCACCAATGAGTGTTGAGCAGCAGATCGCATTCAAATCCTGTGAAAATCTCACACAGAAGATGACATCGTGAGTTGATTATGGTCTGGATAAGTTAATTAATGTCTAATTAATAATTTATATAAAATTTCAGGCTTAAAGAAAGATCTGCAATAGGCCGATTTAGCTCTGACATAATGTATTTTTAAACCCCATTTCATACATGTATCATTACATAACCAGTTTACATTGAAGGGTGATAAAAAAGACTGTATTACTTGACTTAAGATTTAAGTAGAAAACGTAAACGTTGACTTCATCTTAGTGTGACATGTAGTTGTCAGGTTTCAAGGTGCGAAGTCAAGGATAGGCTTAAAATTCTTCTATCACTAGATCAAGGTCAGACTTATTTCTAATCTTAAAACAGGTGATATTATTAATAAATCTTAAATCACTAGAACAAACTTATAACTAATCCTAATACAATAATGAAATGGGGTTTAAAAATACATTATGCAAGAGCTAAATCTGCCTATTACATTATGCTATGGGGGGAATTTTGGTCTAACAGTGGCACTATGGACTACTCTTATATTGAATTCCAACTGCCAAGAGATCTTTAATGTGCACAAGGGATTTTTTCGTCCCATCCGAATGACTTGTCAGGCCCTCCATCTTGCACCACTGACAAGGAGAAACCACACCAGAAAATACCGATGAATAATCCTAATAGAACCTTACAGCTTACATTATTAATAATTCTATACCTGTTCTACATAGGTCCGAAATCTTATATTATAAATAAATTATAAATCACCAATGAGCAATGACTAGAACTTGGTGTATTTAGGCCTAATTTCTTTCTCATTCAATCATAATCAAATCTTTGTTTGAAAATACATAAAAATCATCTAAAATCACCTCAAATCATTTCATTTGTACTTGTGACCAGTTGAAAGCTGACTGTTTAATTTGTAATTTGTGTCCAGTTGAAAGCTGACTGTTTAATTTGTAATTTGTGTCCA